GGAAACACTTTCACTCTGTAGGTGGGACTGCAAATTAATATAGCCTCTTTGGAAAAAAGTATGGAGACTCCCCAAAGAACTCAAATTAGAGGTCCCATTTGTACTCACAATCCCACTATGAGACTTCTACCTAAACAACAACAAAAGAATCATTTCATCATAAGGGTATATGCACTAGATTGTTTAACGCAGCTCAATTTACAATTGCCAAGATGTGGAAACAACCTAAATGCCCATCAACTCAGGAAGGGATTAACAAACAATGATATATGCACACCATGGAATGCTATTCAGCCATAAAAAAGATGGTGACTTCATGTCTTTTTGTATTAACCTGGACGGAGTTGAAACATATTCTTCTCAGTAAAGTATCACAAGAATGGAGAAGCAAATATCCAGTGTACTCAGTATAAAGCCAGCAGATGATCTAATTTATGCCCACATAGAAGAAAAACTCATTTCAATTCAAGTTGGGGGGAAGGGGCACAGGAGAGGGGACTGGAGTGCTCCCACTGAATGGGCACAATGTAAAGGTGTATGGCACACCTTTGGGGTACAGGACATAGCTACAGCAGGGACTCTAGCTAACAAACTCAAATATTGTGCTTTGGTTGTCTGTACCCTCACATTAACCTGAATTTTTTTTTTTTAAATGTAGAAATTACATTTAACCTGGGTACATTCCATTGTATGTGACTTTCACCTCTGTCAAGTTCTCTACCTTGGGCCCTGCCTAAGATCGTACACAGGAGCCTGGCAAAGAAATCAGCAACCGGGCAAGTTGAGCAGGTGCTGGGAAGGAGGGTACTAGGCTGTTTGCAGCGGGTCCACCCAGGATGGGCCACCCTGATCCCTGGCAACCTGAGGTTTCCTTCATGCTCGTCTGTGTTTCCCTGGGTTTTCTGCATCAGGCAGGCTTATTTTCATAGCTAGAGAAATAAACAACAAATACTCTTCCAGAAATGGTCACAGGATACGATGGTCAAGGCCTAAGCACAGAACGCGTCCACACCTGGGCGTATCTCACCTTCTCATGTCTACTGCGCTTTCTGGTTTAATCTGTAAGCTGCGTCCTCTTGAAAGGAGAGAGAAAGAGTTAAACAACACCCAAGCCACAGACGTGGTGCGTGCTGACTTACGTCGCATCGACCCTCTCCACCCCACGGAAGAAGCTGACGCCATCCGAGGTGTTTCGTAGGTGGTGGCATTTCTCATCGATCCGATAGGCCGTCTGCTTGTCACTCAGGTCCTTCTCCAGCTCATGCTGGGCAGCTCTGTTGGCTCTGCGACAACACAGAGGGGGAAACAGAGCTTCACATTCAGGTAACAATTTCCTGCAGGGATGCGGGATTGCCCTTTTTTGTCGGGACCCTGTCTGTCCCCATTGCCCTGGGAATCTGACCCTTCATAAGATGCTCAGCTTTGAGATGGAAAGGAGCACTATGTGGAGGTGTCTGTCCATACACGGAGTCATCAGAATCCCACTTCTGCCCCTGCACACCTCTCCTTCCATGGGGTAGGGTGCAGGGGAGGAGGGGAGGCTTAGACAGACAGCAGTCAGGACCTGGAGCACCAGCTGGGGCCCAGTTTCCTAACACCCCCAACTCTTCAGGACAGGACACTGGTTCAAAGCAATCTGCCCATTCTTTAAGTATAATCTCCCAAGAAATTATAAGGCCCTTTTAGCTGAGGCTTCCTCTATTCATTGGTGACCTGAGTTTGTAGTCATGCTGGGACAGACTTTTGCTAGGAGACATAAAACAAGGGTCAAAATTAACCTTCAGGCCAGGAGTTCAAGAGTGCTTGAAAACAGATGGGTAATCCAATCAGGGGCCCATCCGGCCCAAGCCTGGAGCAGCCTCCCTGTCAGATGGAAGAGGCCTTGCTGAGCTGGGCCAGGCCTGGTCTTGCCTGCCCTCCCAGGCGGAGAGGGAACCTGGAGCTCTTACAACAGAGACAGGCCCTGGGGGGGGAGGGGATGGGTGACGGGTGAGCCACATCTTTACTCGTGGAATAGTTCATCTGACAAATAGTTATTGAGTGCCAGGCACGTTCTGGGAGCCTGGGATGAGTGAGTGGACAAACAAATCTCTAAGGAGTAGGCATTCTGCTTGGAGGAGACAGATAGCACTTAAACAGAACAGGCAATTGGTGTGATTGGGAGAAAAGGGGGACCAGGAGTGTGAGCGATGGTTTTAAATAGGATGACCAGGCTAGGTCTCCCCAGGTGACACTCAGCACAGCAAAGGCTTGAAAAGGGGGGATTGGGTTGTGTGGGGCCCTACTGGGCACTGGAAGGAGGCAGAATTGTCTCTAAGTAAAACTGGGGATCGTTGACTTATGTTGTAAAAGGACCTTTCTGGTGCTGGGCTGAGAATAGACTGCAGGGCAGGGAGACCATTTGGAGGCCACTGCAGTCACTTGGGTGAAGGGTGACAGTGGCTTGGCCCAAGGGGGGTGGTAATAAAGGAGGCAGAAAGTGTGCAGCCCCTTGGATGTGGTTTACGGTAGAGGCCAGAGACTCTCCCATGACATCAGGGGGGAAAAGAGCTTAAGTGACGCCACAGAGAGTGCGGGATTCCAGCAGCCGAGAAGGCCGGGGGTTGGGGGGCGTTGCCACCCTGAGCTCAGTGCCCACTGGCCATCCACCCGAGGGCCCGGGTTGCTGGAACTGGGGACAGAGGTCTCAGCTAGTCATAAACTTAGGAGTCATTAGCATAAAAATAGAATTTGGCAGAGCAGGATAACTGAGTGATTGTAATCATTTCTGCCTTCTTGGCAGACCAGAGCCACTCAGTAAGATGGCACTGAACCATGTGAGCCGACTCTGGCTGCAGGTTCCCTCCACTCAGCCTGCGACTTCCTGCAAATCATCTGACCTGTCGGAGCTGAGTTCTTATGATTTGTAAAGTGGAAGGGAGGGAGCAAGTGACCTGCATGGCGTGATGCTCAAACAGTTAGTGTGCCAAGGCTGGGTGGGACGTCTGCCTCCCCTCCCCACCAGGGGCCTTAGGCAAAGATGTCGAGACTCTGGGGCTAGAAGGCCCTTCCCTTTGTGGTATGGGACCAAGATGCCCCACAGACTTCCCCTACCCAGCTGACAGCCCCCGACCTGGCCTCAGGGTCCCGGGGTAGGTGTGCGAGGCAGCACCCCCTCAGCCTGTCCCACAGCCCATGACCAGGAGAACCTTGGCTGACATGTTGGTGCCTAATGAGGTGCCACTTTCAGATGGAAGCAAATGTGGGCTTCATTGCTCCTGAACAAGTGGAGCTGGACACAGCACAGCCACTCCCCCTGAGCCCAGGACAGGCCATCTCAGGAAACGAGGAATTTGGCTCACGTATATAAAGAAAGCTGAGCTCCTTAAAGGATCCCTCACAGACAGCACACAATACAGACAGGACAGGACACACAGACAGGGCAGGGACACACAGACAGGGCAGGACACAGACAGGGCAGGGACATACAGACAGGGCAGGGACATAAACAGAGACAAGCCCAGGACACACATAAACAGGGCAGGGACACGCATTGATAGAATGTCCTCTAGTCTAGCTGGCTGTGAGGACATTTGCAGTGGGGACTAAGATGAGGACTTGGCTGTTACAGGGTAGAACCATCCAGACCAAGAAGAGCCAAGGACACAGAAGTCGGGCAGGAGATTTTAGATAAAATGAGGATAAGAACCCAGGCCAGAGAAAAGAGAACAGAAACAGTGCTCTGAGCCACACGACCTGGGTCTCTGGGATTCCCAGGGAGCAGAAGCCAAAGTTACTGCTGTGTAACTGTACAGTCAAACCATGGGTCACCCTCCGAGGACCCTCTGCCTGTCCTCCTGCCCCTCCTCACTGATTTCTGCATTAAAGGAGCCTCTACTCACAGCCCAGGGCTCCTCATCGCCCTCCACAGCGTGACCCGAGACTCAGGGCAGGGCTGACGCCTGTGGTCCTCACCCTTCTAGGGGCACCACAGCTGCCCGTGACTACATAGCTGTCAGCAGCATCATCTTCTCTTGGATGTGGCATAGTGGATAGTCCTTCATTCTAGGACCATAATCCAGTGAACCTTGACCTTTCTATGCAGGTTCGGCAACAGGCTTAGCCAAGCCATTTTTCGATGCCGATTCCTGTTATTAACACTTAAGACCTTTCTTTGATTACTATCCTTCCCCTCCCCAGCAGCAGCCCCCACGGCCACTACCGTAAACCTCAGGTACCCACAACTGCCAAGGAAGGAGAGCCAGTGCTCTTGAGGACTTTGCATTCGGGTGGGGAACAGGACGGGTAAGCAATGACAGTGCAAGGCTGCAGTGGTGTCATCAGGGAGGCTGGGTCTTCAAGAAGAAAATAAACACGAAAGGGAGCACAGCTCCTCACTTTACTCACCCAGCTGTGCGCATGTATGAGTCAATCAGGAGTGAAGGTATTTTGAGTTGAAAGAAATCTTAAGTGAGGGTAGAAATCCCTTCCCCGGTATCACAGAAATCCCTTCCCCGGTATCACAGAATTAATTTCTTTAAATACAAATTCAAAGCAAGCGCTCCCAGGACTTGTTGTAACCTTTGAATAAAAATACACATGTCCCCGTGTGTGTGCGTGTGTGTGCGTGTGTGTGCGTGTGTGTGCGTGTGTGTGCGTGTGCATCCTTCCAGAAAGCTAAGCGAAATTCACATGGAAGGCATGAAAACATACAGTCTAATAATAGAATTAAAAGAATTCAATTAAGAATTTACACTGCAGGAAACATATAGTCCACTAGGAGAATTTAAATTGCATAGAAAGATGAAGTGCTTACGCAAGTTGGGCAATAGCCTTATCCAAGTGTAGCCTCATTTTTTCTTGACAACACAGAATGGCGTCAACTTCCTATTCAATTAAAGAAAAAGTATGTTAATGTCTTCATTACTGAGCATAACCTCTAAAGTCTGCAACGGAACAAAACGTCAATGAAGAAAAATTTCATTCCTTAAAAACTAAATTTAGACAAGAAAACAATTTTACGTCCACTTATCTATATGTTCCATGATATTACAATTTAAATATTAGACTGAGATGGATCCTTTACATGGCTGCAGGAAAATTATATTGTGGAACAAGTTTGGGCATGGTTAGGATTTTTCTTGCTTTTTGTCTTTTTCCTTAATTAAAACAGTGAAAAAAGAAAAAAAGGACGAAAATTCTGGTAAGCCGCAAGGTCAAATTTAAATGTATAGGCAGTGCTTGTGGCTCAAGGTGTAGGGCGCCGGCCCCATATACCAGGGGGTGGTAGGTTCAAACCCAGCCCTGGCCAAATACTGCAAAAACAAAAAATTTAAATGCACAATTCTTTGATAATAGCCATTCTTCTAAGACAAAGTCTTTATAAATGAGGGAGGCAAAGGGAAGCCAAAAGGAGCTTGTGTGGAGGCTGACTTCCTCCATGGGAGGTCAGGCCTTCTGTCCTGTCTGCGCACTGCAGCCTAGAGCCCGTCCACGTGCAAACACCTGTGCGGATGGTCCTCTGCCTTGTACCACAGTGCAGACACCCGTGTGGCCGGTCCTCTGCCCTGGACCACGGTGCAGACACCTGTGTGGATGGTCCTCTGCCTTGTACCACAGTGCAGACACCCGTGTGGCCGGTCCTCTGCCCTGGACCACAGTGCAGACTCCCGTGTACCCAGTCCTCTACCCTGGACCACGGTATACACACCCGTGCACTCAGGCCTCTGCCCTGGACCACGGTGCAGACACCTGTGCACCCAGGCCTCTGCCCTGGACCACAATGCAGACACCCGTGGGGCCAGTCCTCTGCCCTGGACCGCGGTGCAGACACCCGTGCGGCCAGGCCTCTGCCCTGGACCACAGTGCAGACACCCGTGCGGCCAGTCCTCTGCCCTGGACCACAGTGCAGACGCCCGTGTAGCCGGTCCTCTGCCCTGGACCATGGTGCAGACTCCTGTGCATCCAGTCCTCTGCCCTGGACCACGGTGCAGACTCCCGTGCACCCAGTCCTCTGCCCTGGACCATGGTGCAGACTCCTGTGCACCCAGTCCTGTGCCCTGGACCATGGTGCAGACACCCGTGCACTCAGTCCTCTGCCCTGGACCACAGTGCAGACACCCGTGCAGCCAGGCCTCTGCCCTGGACCACAGAGGCAGCTTTTTGATGCTGCTGGGTGTGTGCACTGCTACATAGAATGTCTTGAGCTGAGAGATTTTTAAAGCAACATTTATTGCCCTCTGAAATTCCTATTCCCATTAGAAAGGTTAGGAACTCAAAATAACACCAAGAAGATATTTTAAAAGTGCACGTAGTCACTGTCATCATTTTTTTAAGTGAAAGTGGCCACACCTGAACATTTTCCCATGACATTAAACAATACTGTCAGGAACCACCACAGTCAGTACTGAGGCACCACCACAGGGAGCAGGCCATCCCAAGGACTGACAAGTACAGTCAATCTGCACTTCAGAAAGTGGCACCCATTCCCCACTGTGAGTGGCTTGCACTTCCTCATTTTGCCCGACAAGTGGTTGATATCCCATCTCAGTCTTTACTGAGGGGATGACTAACAGTAAACCTGCTTAAATTTGCAGCTGATATAAGGACCACGTATCTGTCCATTGTTTGATGTTCTTCATACGTGAACTCCCAGTTCTTGGGCTTGTCCTTTTTCCTGTTGTTTATTTTTTCTTATTAATGTGTAAGAGCTCTCAACATATTTAAAATTTAATCTTTCTATCATATGTGTTACTTTTTCTTTTCTTCACCAATCTGGCCCTTACTTTTATATTTCATGCATGGCAGTTTTCACATAGATATTTCTGATTTCTATGATATCAAGTCTGTCCCCTTTGGGTCTCTGCCTTTGTCATTTGGGTTACAAAGACCTCCTTCACTCAATGTTAGTTATTTCTCATTGATGTAGAGAAATTACTTTATAATTGTTTAGGCTTTTGATAATCTGAATTAAGAAAGTAAGTGAAGAACTAAACCAAAGTTCTCCCACCTTTGCAAGTAGACAAGATTTTGCACACATCAGCCTTAGCTTTTTGTATTCAATTTTCATCTTTGTCAATGACTTGGGGGGTATTTTGACGAGATGCGAGCAGAAGATGGAGGGGGTTCTGCTCAAAAAACACCATTAAAAATCCCCAGTCCTATCAATGTTTATATACTACATGTACCCAAAGCACAGAATGGAAATTCTTAGGACATTTGGTGGGGGAAAATGTATTTAATGAAATTCTCGCTACAAAAAACTCCTACAACAATTATTTTCATCTGTGAATTTAAATAATGTTATATGATGAATGTCCAGTGGTTGGGGGCAGAATGTTTCTTGGGAAGACAAAGAACCAAAGGCCTCTGGAACTGTCCCCGCTGCCACCCTATCTACCAGCCTGTACTCAGACGTGGAGGTGGCCTTGACACACCACAGCAGAAGCAGACGCAGGCCAAGCATTTCCTCACCTGCCTGAGAGAAGCAGGTGTACTAGGAGGTGGTGGACACACAGAAGGCAGAGAGCCTGATCTGATCCTCTCCCCAGCTGCAGCTCCACCCCAGGAAGCCAAGGAGAGGGGGAGGGCACCCGACAGCAGAACGCCCAGGAGCCTGGGAAGTGGCTCCAACACTTTTGGATCCTGAGCTTGGGGAGGAATGACAGGCCCCACCAGAGTCTCAGCAGCCAAAGTGATCAAAACGTGGTCTTACCTGTAACAAGCATCCACCTTCAAGTGACTTTTACCTTTCTCTACTCTATTTTTATACTTTTTAAATTTCCAGTGAAAATGTTACTCGTATAACCAATAAAAATGTATCTTTCCTAAATGCAATCAACATCTGATATGATAACTCCTTACTTCTAAGTGACTTTATATAACATCACTTTTTAATTTCTACATATTAAACACATACTTATAACTATGCATCTTGTTACTAAAGCATTTCTCATATTTACCGTCAGCAGTTCTTTTTCAACTTCATCGTGAACTAAATCGATTCCCATTCTCTTCTCTCTATGAAATAGACATTCTCGGGCGACCTACAGACACAGAATAATAGAAAGCTCTAATATGAACTGGCTATAATCCATGACTAGCAGTTCTAACAACTGGTCTTAAAAATAATCAGTAGATATTGCCAACTCCTCGAACCATCTGGCAGTCACTGTCACTGAAACAGACCGTGACAACTAAGTAGATCTCTCCTTCTAGTGAAAGGTAGAGAGTCAGTGTTTCAAAAGAGTTTGAGAATGTCTAATTTAGAAAGGGATCAGAGGGCAGCACCTGTGGCTCAAAGGAGTAGGGCGCCAGCCCCATATACCAGAGGTGGTGGGTTCAAACCAGGCCCCAGACAGGAAAAAAAAAAGGGAGCAGGGTGACACCTGTGGCTCAGAGGAGTAAGGCACTGGCCTTATATGCTGGAGGTGGTGGGTTCAAACCCAGCCCTGGCCAAAAAAAAAAAAGGAGCAGAGCAGAGGGCATCTGCTTGATCCCTGCAAATTAGCATCTAAGAACATTACTCTGGCATTAGTGTCTTCAAGAGAAATAGCTCAAAAATGTGAAACAGTCTTCTAAATATTTTATACTGAGAAGAATGAGGAAGAAAGGAATGATTATCTTTAAAGACGTCAAAATATTTGTGCAGCCAGAAATCCAAGTGATTATTTTTAGAACGCCATTAATTTTTTCCCAATTATGAAAATAATGTCTGTATTTACTAAAGTGGAAAAAATATAGAAAAGCAGAAAAGATAATCTAGCTATTCTGTTACTGATTTGTTCTTTGCTTATTTTACAGAATGAAGGTTACAGTGTCCTTGCAGTTTTATATTATGCTTTTTAGGACTGACATTAAATATTCTTTGAAACAAAGTATGTTAATGACTCCCATGGAAAACAGCTTAGATTGCTGCTAGTAAATTATGTATGAAAGAACACTATGTATCAGTTAAAATGCTTTTTTCAAAGGCTATTTCATGACATAGGACTACTACAGAATGTTAAATTTTTTAAAAGCATATAATGTCATTGAAGAAAATCTTTGAGTGAATCTCCAATTTTCTAAAAGTATAATTTACATTTACTGGAAGAATTAAGGGGTCGACGGGAGCCTGATTACTTTAATATATATTACTATACTGCTTCCCCAAGAAATTTCCACTAATGCACAATCCCACTAGTAATAGATGAAAGTGCCCATTTTCTTATTTTTTGCCAGCCCTGGACATTTGAAGTTTTCATTATCGCAAATTTGATGGGCCAAAGACGGTTAATTTGTATTTTATTATTAAGCTTCCACACTTTGCCCTTAACATTCATTCACCAAATGTATTTTCTCTTTTGAGGTTTATCTGTTAGCGTGACTAACGCTAATTTTAATCAGGACCTTTTGATACTATATTGACAGTAAAAAAATCTGGACAAAAAACATTTAAATTACAGGAAAACATAAATAACAGGAAAACATTTAAATTACAACCATCTCCCTGAAAGCAGTCGTCCCTGAGAGGGTTACCAAGAGAAGAAACCGCGTCTCCTCGGAGAATTAAGTAAGAGGGTCAGAGGCTGTCATTTTAAGGACAATTTCTATCTTGGAAGGCAGTGGGGTGGGGATGGGACGGGCTGTAGAAGAAACAAAAAATCCCCAGAAGGAGCTGAGGCTCAGCAAGGCCTGGGGCCTTCTGATGCTGAAACACAACTCATAACAAACTGACTCAAAAAGACATCACTGGCTTCCTTCAACTCTTCTGGGGACTTCTGGGGACCGGTGTGCGTGCTTGGGCTTCTTAGTGGGGAGGAGTTAGGAACAGGGAGTGACAGTCACAGGGACCACCAACAAAACCCATGATAACATGGTGATGGGCCTGACCTCAGTCTAACCAAACACATCCATCTCCCAAGAATCTCATGGCATCATTTCACTGTGCCCCAAGAAGGAATCATGACATATACACAGGAGGCATTCCAACGCACAGACTAAAAGAATACAGCTTTTTTTTTCCTTAAATACTGTTTATTTTAATCTAGGGTAGCAGTTCTCAACCTGTGGGTCATGACCCACAGGAACTGTATTAAAGGGTTGCAGCATTAGGAAGGTTGAGAACCACTGATCTAGGGGAAGTGGTGACTAAGCGGCCTATTTAAGAGATAAGAAGATGGCATTTTCACTTTAAATCATGTGCATCTTAATGGCATCTCTGCAATTAGCCATCTTTGCTGTGCATTCAGAATTTTTTCTTAAAGTGGTTGTTCTGTATACTTTGAAAATTGGCAGTGGTGTGACCATTACTGAAACAAGTTTCTGGTTTATAAACAGGGGCTTGGTTCCTTCAGATGAAGTGAAACATGAATCAATACCTAAATAACCCCGGACATTCGCTAGTGGGGCACCATTCTAACAGTACAGCCTTCGATCAGAAACCCTACTTATATGTACCTGAAGAGGGGCTTCCGTCTCCATCAGAGCCCTCTCTAACCGTTTCTTAACATCGGTAAGTGCGTTCGTCTCCCCAATCATTTCATCCAACTCATGAATGAGCTCAGATTTCCAGAACCCTATGTCACTGACACGTTCTCCCAGATTGTGGGTGGTGTTTGCCTGGGTCTTTCTTATTTGTTGATATTTGTCTTGAATCAGGCAAGACGTATCCACTCTTAGTCTCTCTGAATTGTGCCGGGAAGTGTTAGACTCTTGGTAGTTGGTTAGGTTGGACCTGTACCAATCTTCAGGGGTGTACCTTGTGAAGAGAGTGGTTCTGTTGGAAACAAAGGGAGTCATGGTGCTCTCGGACACCCTCTGGGATCTGGTGCAGTACGGGGCCAAGCCCGGCGAGTTGGAGGCTACTCGGTAGTATGTGCTCGGTCTCCAAGGAAGGCTCAAGGAGTGGGTAAAGTTGGAGTGGGGGAAGCGGTTCCTGTAGCTGGACGTCAGGGTGCTGATGGAGGGCAGGGTGTTGGTGGTGGTTGGCCTCGGGTGGGCATAAGTCGCCATTAAGGTGGAGCCTAAAGACTCCATGATACTTAGACACTATTAGCAAATCTCTCCTGTGTAAAAGAAAAAAAAGTGAAAAAGGATAGTCACATAAATTAATCTCTGGTGAAATTTTAAAAAAAAAAGGCCACATCTGACTTAGTACCCATTGCAGGGCTCCCCAAAAACTCAGCTGTGTGTTCTAATTTACGTGTTACGCACAGAGACCAGTGATAATGTGCTTCAAAAACATTCTTTCCATCTGTGTCTCTGGATTGTGTTGAGATCACATTATTATTTTCGATTGCCCATTTGAAGTTCTGAATGCTTTAGAAAGCAGTACTGGAAGAAATTTATAACTATAGAAAACATTTTAAAAAATGAAAAGACTCTCTCCCACGTTGAACTACATGAAAGTAACACCATCGTGTTGTAACAAATTCAAATTCTGAGCCTGAACTATGCATTTTATACAAATAGGGATTCAAGTCTTGGCCCCAGTATTTACTAGCTTTGTGACACTGGGCAAATTACTTAACCTCTTGATGCCTCCATTTCTTCATCTATAAATAATAGGGATCATAATAGTGATAACAACAGGGGACTGCATGGCAGATGCCACCGAGTCACCCTAAATAAACACAGGCTCACAGGCTAGGTAACAGTGGTGTGGCTGGATTGCAAACCCAGCTCAAGGCACATCCCAGGTCTCCTTTCCTGGCAACCTGCTACCTCTAAGCACCTCTGGGATAGAAATTTTAGGGCAGCAACAGGGTTATAGGATGAAGATGATGCTAAGTCTTGGAAGGCTTAGCACAGTGTTGGAAGCTCTGGATATGTTAGCCTTTTACATTATTAACACAGAGGAACATGCAAAGTAAAAACTAAGTATCTGTTCTGTCCTGCAAGGGAATCTTCAGCTGTAGCCACTGTGAATAGTTAATTAAAGGTTGCACCTTTCCAGATTTTTTCTATTCATACACCAACATATATATTCTTTATACACTATATACATCTACCTATACACCATTTAAACACATACACAGAGCTTTTTACTACCAAAATGGAATTATCTTAATCATTGTACATATGGTACTAGATCATGCTTTTTTTTTTTAACTTAAATATGTCTTTTAGACCTCTCCTCCTGTTAGAACATATATGCCCACCTCATTCTTTTTTTTTTACCAGTCCCATTGTCTGAAACTTTTGGTAATTATTATTCCAGAAAACCAAGGATGACACAAACTATGACATATCTTTCAGCACTTAAATAGCATTCTGTTTGGGGGGTTATGACTTTGGCCCTGTTTACCAAAAAATAAAAGTAAAAATAGATCCTATTTTATTCTATACACTGCTCAGAAAAAAAAAAAAAGTTTTTTAGTGATTATTTAAATAGGACTTCGGTACCCAAACCCCAAATTATCTGCTTGTATAACTGTGCTCAAGTGAAAAATTCACTCCGACCACAAGCTAAAGTAGTTGCCTGTGGCCCCGTGCACTGATAGGACCCTAGCTGTCTGCCTGTTTCCCAAATTCTTCCTTTCTACAGCCCCTAAATACTTAACACTGGCCACTCTTAACGAGTGATTGTGAAAATGAAAACCTTAAGATGCCACTTGCAATTCTTCAGTTTGAAACTTAAACTATTTCAAAAAGCAAATTCAAAGTAACTCGAACCTTTGTGTGCTTATGGTCACTTTTAGACCCAACCCCTTCCCCATGTCAGATCTATAAATAATCTAGTTTTCTTCTAGCAAGAAGCTTCAAGAGAGGAGAGACCACTCCTACGTGGTTTTGCTTAATTCTTGACATTAAGAGATCCACATACCTCACTCGGTTCTTCGACCACGGAATTGCAAGTGGAGAATGCCAAGTGAGTCTTCCCAACACCTGCTGTGTTGGCGTCTTGAAACATTTTAACCCATGTTTGCCAAATATTGAACTATGAGTCATCTGCTCCAAGGGGTGATACGTGAAGATGCAGAGAGGTTCATAAGCCACATGACACATGCGGACTGAGAAAACGCAACAGTTTATAAAAACACTTAGTGATTTGTTTTTTCATTAAGGGTGGAATATAGCTTAGAATCTGGAATCTGAAACATCAAGCTCAGTTGTTTAAACGGAGTGAAGGAGAGCTCCCCGTGAAGCAGTAAGTTTCATACAGAGAGACAATATTTTACAGCCACAACTAAAGTTTTAGCTGCAGCCAACTATCGTGTAAGTCATTTGGGAAGACACCGCATGGGGACATTGCACCAAAGTATTCCACTGTCATGTGCTTTTGGTCATTATTGGTCAAAAAACTAAAGTTTCATAGCTTAAGAAATACTTAAAAACTCAAAATATATTTCTGCTTCCAATCATGATAAACTAACAATAAAGGCATTATCTGCAAATTTTACATCTAAAGTAGTATTAGCCTCGTACATAGTACATCTAAGGATCTAGACAAAATATACATACAAAAAAGTGTTTTCAGACGCTGGACGCTGAGAGTAGAGAAACAGAGGAGGTGAGCTCTCTGACCATCCTGGCATTGTGCCTAGAGGCCATTTCCAGATTAAGGGAGAAACAGATGAAAACCAAACAGGGCCTGGCAGCCTTTGTGAGTTGAGAAGGTGATCAGAATTTGAGGAGGCTGCAACAGCCAGAAGTTGTGAAAAAGGACTCTGGAATAGAGTGAGCTATGCAGAAGCAGAGGTCCAGAAGTCTGTGTAGGGATCTACGTGGGTCTTTGCTGAGAAGCAGGCTGCACACTTCAAGGGACACGCCACAAATCTTGGCAAAAAGCAACAGTAGAGTTGTTAGCTGATTTCTAGAACTCACAGAGGATGGAGACACATTGTGAATTCAGACTAACCAGGTTAGAGCATCATGGGTAGCCACCTGGAGCATTCAAGGGAGACCCCAGAGAAGTCACACAGGAGAGGGAGGCTCAGCTATCCCTGGGGTGAAGGCAATCAAGACTCACTCCAGAAAAGCTCAAAAACAGGCCTCAGAGAGATCAGACTAGTTCACAAATAACTTGTGTATTTGCTGGACAAATACCACAGTGTCCAGCATTCAGTCAAAAACTACCACATACACCAAGAAACCAGAAAATGTTACCCAAAAAGAAAAATCAGTGCATGGAAGCAGGTCTAGAAATGGCAGAGATGATGGAACTAGTAAACCATGTACAGGATGAAGAGAGAAATGCAAGATTAAAAAAGAACCAGTGGAACTTTAGGGACAAAGCACATGATATATACTTGCACAAGGTCACCAGTGGGGATTAACAGCAAACTAGAAATTGGAGACATAAAGATTAGTGAGCTCAAATCTAACCAAACTGAAACACAGAGATGTTCTTTAACTAAAAAATATTAAAATGAAAGGCACCTCAGCAGCCTATGGAACAACAGCAAATGGTCTAACATCACGTATTTGCTGTGTCATAAAGAGAAGGGAGAGGAACAAAAATATTTGAAGAAATAATGGATGAATATTTCCCCAATTTGATGAACACACCCCACTGCCATCACCACGGGAAAATGATCCAATTTCAGAAACCAGTGATAAAGAGAAAACCTTAAAAAACAGAGGGAAAAAGACACACTAAGTATAAGGGAACAAAGGTAAAAATTAGTACTGAATAATTGTCAGAAACTAACCAACCCAGAACACAATCAGACAATATTGTTAAAGGGCTGGAAGAAAGCATAAGCCTAGAATTCTGTATTTAGTGGTAAATCCCTCAAAATAAAGAAAAAGTAAAATCTTTTCATAAACACACAAACCAGAAGAATTCATCAGCAGCAATACAAGAATTTCTAAAGGAAATTCTTCAGGCAAAAGGAAATTATACCAGATGGAAACTTGGATCTACACAAAGAAATGAAGAATGTTAGAAATGGTAAACATGTGTGCTAATGGGAAAGAAAAAAGAAACTTTTCTAACTTTCTTTTTTTTTTTTT